GGAAGGACGAGGGCACACACACACTCACACACACACACACACCTTGACGCCGGATTGGGGGGGGGGGCAGGCTTAGGGCAGGTGGACTGCCGAGCAGCAGACTCAGACCCCGACGTCATGATTTTTCATCACACGTGGACCCCAGAGGTCTCGACCCACTTCTAGGGACCAGCTCCTCATTCTGAGTAGCTTGTTGATGGGACGCACAGAGACATACTAGTACCAGATGTCCTCCTTGGAGGCGCGCGTCCGAATGCAACATATAGTATACCCATCTTGTAGTATATCGTTTCCCCAGCGGTGTGGCCAGAAAGCGCCCGCCACGACGCATATACTATAAGATTTCTCGGTGCGCGCGTCGCCCCTGGGGGGCGATGCGCATGTAATGGAGGATGACGATTAATAAATGGCCGGGGGTCGTGTTCACGCGGCGGCGCTCGGGATGACGATTAGAAAAAACCGGCCGCGGGCTGGAAAACTATTTTTATCGTTCTCCTCCAGTCAGAAAATTGTGCAGAAACAGCAGAAAACTATGTTTTCATCGTTCTCTCCCCTTTTTTATCCAATCGCCATCCCGCATTAGTATAAGTACGTTGGGGTGACGCCGATTTTGGCGGCCCCAGGGCCTGGCTAAAGGGCCCCCCCCGAGGACATCCCCCCCCTCGCCGTGGTTCTGTTCGCGGCTCGGGGGCGCCTGGGGGGCCTCTGCCCTCCAGCGGCGGCGCCCCCCCCCCTCCCTGGAGCTCTCCCCGCAGGTCTCCGGCGGCTCCGCCTCCGGAGGACGACGACGACGACGACGTCGTCGACGACGACGACGAGGACGACGACGACGACGACGTCGTCGACGACGACGACGACGATGGCGGCGGCGGCGACGACGACGACGGCGGCGGTGGCGGCGACGACGACGACGGCGGCGGCGGCGGCGAGCGACGGCGAGCGACGACGACGAAGAGCGACGAAAAGCGACGAGGGGTTGTGGCGAGCAAGCACATGCCTGCGAACGCGTCGTTGCCTCCAGGTGGCATATAAGCGGCATGCTCCTTACATCCCTCCTCCTCCTCGTCCTCCAAGAAGGAGGAGGAGGAGGAGGAGGAGAAGGATCGAGGATCGAGGATCGAGGGTCGAGGGTCGAGGGAGGAGAAGGAGGAGAAGGAGGAGAAGCAGGAGGAGGAGGAGGAGGCTCCGCCCTCCCCCAGGGCTCTGGCAGCCGCTTGCTCCGGCCAGGGCCGGCGCGGGACCCACGCATCGGGCGGCCCGATCCCAGGCATGCTCGCGTCGTCGAGAGGTCAGGACGGCGCCTCGAACAACCCGGAGGCGAAGGCTTTCTCGGGCTTTGGCCTCTCGGGGCCCTTCCTGGGCCTCGAGGCCGTCAGTAAAAGACGGCTCGGGGTGAAAAAAGCGGGCCCCCAGGGAGGTGGTCGAGGGGATCGAGTCGGGGGGCCGAGGCTCTCGAGGATCGGGGGGGTCGAGGATCGAGGGGAGTGTCGAGGCTCGAGGATCGAAGGCTCGAGGGCCTGGAGGCCGAGGCTCGAGGCTCGCGGGCCGAGGGTCGACGGGGGGAGGGGGAGGAGGAGGAGGAGGAGGAGGAGGAGGAGGAGGAGGAGGGGGAGGAGGGAGGAGGAGGAGGAGGAGGAGGCGGAGGAGGAGAGGAGGAGGAGGAGGAGGAGGAGGAGGAGGAGGGAGGAGGAGGAGGAGAGGTCGAGGCTCGAGGTCGTCGAGGGGCCGTGGGCCCGCGCCTCGAGGCAGGCCGAGGCGCCGGCTCTCCGGCCATGGGCGCGGGCCCCCGGGGCGTCGCGCCCCCCGTCGGCCGCGGCCGCCCGCTGCCTCCTCCTCTCCTCCTCCTCCTCCTCCTCCTCCCCTCCTCCTCCTCTCCTCCTCCTCCTCCTCTCCTCCTCCTCCTCCTCCTCCTCCTCCTCCTCCTCCTGGGGATTGGGAAAGGGGGGGTTACGAAATTTGCTGCCTGCAGCTGGTTTCGGCCTCACCGAGGGGCCCGTTCCTCGATACATGGCCGCCTCCGGCGCCGGGAGGCGCCGGGAAAATCAGCTACGTGAGCTGATTCTCAAACCCCCCCTTTGCTATCCCCCCCTTTCGCCCGACCCGAGCCTCCGGGCAGGCAGTGGCGAGGCGCCCCTGGCTGGCCCGGGAGCCCACCGCAGAGGGTTTTTTGAGAGCCTCTGCGTGGCTCTCGGTGGCTTCGGTCAGCGTTGTGTCTCACCCCATGCTGGTTTTCAGGATGGCACTTGCTGTGCGTGCGATGCTGCGGGGTTCAAAAAAAGAACTCTGCGTGGTCTGCAGGAGATGTTCTCAGAGCAGGTCTGGCGGAGACTGTCCTGCTGTAGCACACATCGGGTCGATGCTCCAAGAGCAATGTTTCTGCTCTCAGAACATGTTTGGGTTCCAAGAACATGTCGTGGTAGGCTTGTAGGAATGCCTGGACTGTCGGTCTCTGCTCAATCCAGAGTCGACCAGACGCAAGAGTGACCTTTCGCCGAAGTGACCTTTGGTGCGGGCTCATCGGGGTCTCCCCGATGGCCGAGCGCGATGCGACGGCAGCGTCTTCCGCGCTTGTGTTTGGTCCCCCCGCAGCGCCCAAAAGGCCGCGCACCAAAGGTCACTCGTTATCCAGGGTCACTCCTGCGTGTAGTCGGCAGAGCTGCTCTGCGGACGGCCCCGTGGCCCAGGGCTGGCGGCCGCCGTGGCCCCCCGAGCGGCTCTGCCGACGGCCCCGGCGAGGCCCAAGGTGGCGAAGATCACTCTTACGTCGCAGCGTAGCCGAGGCCCTCAGCACGCGCGTCGGAGCGAGGCCGGGGCACGGCAGCGCGAGTTAGCCCGCGTGCAGGAGGGGGCATTCCAACATTCTTGATGAGCCTTGGGTTTACACTGGTTCTCCTCCTCCTCCTCCTCCACCTCCTCCTCCTCCTCCTCCTCCTTCTCCACCGTCTTCTCCTCCTCCTCCTCCTTCTCCTCCTCCACCGTCTTCTCCTCCTCCTCCTCCTCCTCCTCCTCCTCCTCCTCCTCCTCCTCCTCTTCCTCCTCCTCCTCCTCCCGCGGCGTGAGCCTCCTCCTCCTCCTCCCCCCCCTCCTGTGCCTCTGCCTCGTCCCGATGCCTCGAGGAGGGAGGCGGCCGCGGAGGGGGGCAGATCGCGGGGGCACGCTCACGCAGCAGTCTGCAGCGTGGCGAAGATGACAGGCAGCCGCGGGCTGCTCTCGGGAGGACCGGTGGCCTTCCGAGTGCCCTCTCCCCTCCCGCGCTGCCGCTCCTTCGTGGCGCGGGCCACCCCCCCTGGGCCCTGGGCCATCGACCCCTTCCCCGGGGCCGCCTCTTTGTCTCGAGTTAGTTTTTGTCAGCGTGCTGTACAGTGAGCGGCGTGAATAAGAAACACTTGCTTTTCAAGAGGGGCTCGGTCGTTCCTTGGGCTTGCATGCGTTATTTACAGTTCCTTATGCGCTATTTGTTGCCTATCGCTCCTGATGCGTTATCCCTTGGGATACAAAAGGGGCTTCGTTCCTTATCTATCGTTCCTTGGGTCAGGCCGATGACTGTAGCCCGGAATCGGAGGACGCGTAATGGGGAGGCGAAGCGCAGGGGGGGCAGCGAGGGCTGCAGAAAAGCGGCCCTTCGTGGCCCCACAAAGGGGGCCTCTGGGGCCCGAAGGGCCCCTCGAGGGGCCCTTCAGGGCCCCACAAAGGGGGCCTCCTGGGGCCTGAAGAGGACTCCCTTCTCCTGCCCCCCCCCCTCCAGCTATCGCTCCCCCATTCAATCCGCGCCCAACCGAAGCAACAACTTCCGCCGCGATTTGTAGTTGCTGCCGGGTTCGAGGAGGAGGAGGAGGAGGAGGAGGAGGAGGAGGAGGAGCAGGAGGGGGAGGAGGAAGAGGAGGAAGAGGAGGACGAGGAGGAGGAGGAGGAGGAGGAGGAGGGAAGGTGCTCCACGGGCGCCAGCTGGCGCTGAAGTTGTCCGCCAACTCCGTCTACGGCTTCACTGGGGCGACCAACGGCCCGCTTCCGTGCCTCGAGGCTGCCGGGCGCGGCCGACGCCGCCGCTGACGACGCCGCCGCTGACGTCGCTGCCGCCGCCGCCGCCACCGCCGCCGCCGCCAACGCTGCCGCCGTCGTCGTCGTCGACGTCGTCGTCGTCGTCGTCGAGCCCACATTCGTGAGAGAGGGAGAGAGAGAGAGAGAGAGAGAGAGAGAACAACCCCAAAAACGAGGAGAGAAAACAAGGGAACAAGGAAGATAGAGATAGAGAGAGAGAGAGAGAAGGTGAGGGAAGAGCGGGAAGGGGGGAGACGAGGAGGATGAGGATGGGGAGGAGAAGGGCAGAGGGGAAAAGCGTAAATGGGGAGGAGGAGGAAGAGGAGGAACACTAGCAAGAGGGGGTGAGGGAGGAGCGGCGAGGGATATACCAGGAAGAGAGAAGAGGGCCGCGAGGAGGACTGGGGACGAGGGAGGGGAAGCGGAGAAGGATGAGGAGGGGAGGGCGGAGGGGAGGGCGGAGGGAGGGGAAGATGAGCGGGAGGGTGAGCGGCAGTACGCGGGAGCAGCGGGGGGCTTTTCAAGGACGGGCCTCGCCTCCGGCGCATGCATCCGCGCCCCCTCGGGCGGAAGCCGAGGGAGGGCTCGTGTGGAAGCACGACGAAGGGAGGGAGGAGGCGGCTGCAGGAGGAGGGAAGAGTGAGGAAGGAGGCAGAGAAGGGATGGAGTACGACGGGGAAGACGCGGGAGGAGAGGGGACTGGCCGGCTCAACGCTGATCTGTTTGCGAGTTGTTGCCGTCGTGATCGGCGCTGTCCTTCATCGTGGCCTCCACCGTCGGCGTCGCATCCGTCATCCATGCGACTCCGCTCTCACACCCATGTATCCACGGCCAGACACTCACAGCCGGGCGTGCCAGGAAATGATATACACATCCAGGGATCTCCGCGTCGAGTGATCAGGCTCCTCTTTTTTCCTCCTCACGGAGGAGGGGGGAGGGATGGAAGCAGCGAGGGGGCATATGGAGATTTGTCTTCCTCTTCCTCCTCCTCGCCCTCTATCCGGCGGTCTGTTGCCATGCTGGCACAAGGGGCAGTTCATCAGGATAATTGCATGAGTGGCATGGCGTCGGCTCCGCCCAAGTTCGGGGATAGGCGTGCCACATTCGGCTTCGGGTCCAACAGCGTGAGACAGCTGCGTGGACGTTTGGGTGACTGTACTCTCAGAGGCTATCCTGGCCAAGTGCGCGGACACGTACTTGCATTCGTCGGGCCGAACAAGTCTTGGGCGTTGAACGATCAGTGCGAGCCAGGAGGCACGGCCACATTGGTGCCCGCACCAGGGGATGTGGCGTTGGGTACGGTGGTCTTCCTGACAGAAGAGCAGCTGGCCGTGCTGGATGGATTCGAGGGGGTCCCCTCGACGTACGACCGCCGCGACTTCGAGGCCGAGGTGGGCGACGCCAGCGAAAACCGGATCGTCTGCGCCGACATTGGCTCGTGAGCTGCCCGCGCAAGGTCGCGGGTAAGCGCCCTCGTCTCCCATGCATCGGAGATTGATAGATCTCCTACCCTGACACGTTGATTAGCGAATTGGCCTTTTTCGGTTCGCGAGAGGGCGTCGCGGCCGTCATTTTTGCGGGTTCAGGTCCGTCGGTTTCGGTCCTAGGCCGTTTTCACTAGAGGGTGGTTTACTAAAGGGAGGTTTGTCCACCGCCGAATGCAGCGTGCCGCGCCGGCGGCCCGCGTAAGCTGCGGCGCAAGGTCGCTACGTCATCTCGCGCAAGACCCGTTTCTGATCGTCGCTCAGGTGCTGATGGACGGGGAGTGGCGGCCGATGCCCGTGGTCGCGTACATCAGGCAGGACAGCTCCCAGTGGTACCCCCCCAGCGAAGCCTACCTCTGCGCCGTGCTGCGGAACCTGCGGGGCAGCTTCCCAGCGCTGCGCACCCTGACGCTGCGCGACGCCGAGGGCAAGGCGAGCGACGCCAACAAAAAACAAGTCGTCTGCGCCGACATTCGCGTCCTCCTCCTCCTTCTCCTCCTCTTCCTCCTCTTCCTTCTATTATTCCTCTTCTTCCTCCTCCTCCTCCTCCTCCTCCTCCTCCTCAGCTGCCCGCGGAAGATCGCGCGTAAGCGCCCTCGTCTCCACTGTGGCGTGCCGCGCCGGCGACCCGCGCAAGCCGCCGCGTACGGTCGCCGTGTCGCTCTGATCGTCGCCCAGGTGAGGGGCTCCTGGAGCCACCCGGGCTTCGGGGAGCTCTGCACCGGCGCGCTGCTCTTCGAGATCGGCGTGCGGATGCCGGAGCCCTGGCAGCTGCCCCGCGAGATCGCAGAGCGGCTGCGGCGGCTGGGCGCCGAGCGCGGCGGCGCCGGCGGCGCGGCGGCGGCGCTGGGGCTGCGCCCAGAGGCGGCGGGCGGCGGCGGCGGCGGCCCCGCGCTGGAGGCGGGCGAGGCGGCCGTGGCGAGGGCGCTGCTGTCGAGGGCGGCCGACGCCGAGTCCAGCGAGGACGAGGCGCAGGCGGAGCGGGCCGCGGAGGGGCCCGCGCGCGCGGGGCCCGCGGCGGCGTCTTGAGCGCCGCCGTGCCCCGCCAGCGGCGCCGCGCCCGCGGGCGGGCGGGCGCCGGGGCAGCCGCCGCGCGGGGGGGGCCATGCCGTCTGGCAGGGGCTCGGTGCTCAGAGGCTCCTCGAGGGGGTGGGCAGGCCTCCTGCCCTGAGACCCAGACCCCCTCGAGTAATGAAAAAATCATGACGGGAGGTTTTTCCTAATTTTCGGCCTCCGGGGGCCCTCACCGGGCCTCGGGAGCGTCAAAAAACGACTCAGGATGCAAAGCCGGTCATGGGGAGGGGGTCGGGACCTCTGGGGGTCGACGTAATGAAAAAATCATTACGTCGGGGGTCTGGGGACGTCGATCCGTGAATGGTCCGTTTGCGGTGCTCGGGAGGGCGCCGCGGCCGTCGTGTTCCAGGCTTGCGCCTGCCAGGTTTGGGCCCGAGGTCGTTTTCACCAAACCACGTTTTGCTAGAGGGGGTTCTGTCCATCCTCGACTCCTTCTCCTCTCACTATTCTTAAGTCGGGCCTGTCCCCCCTACATGGGGGATATTCAAACATAGTACAACAAAGTCGGGGGACGACTTTTTGCGTCTTGCTTTGGGTTATTGCTGAGTATCTTTCGAGTGTCTTTTTATTGTTCGTCCAAAATCCCCTTGTAGAAGACAGGCCCGACCTAACACTAGTCTTCACCTTCCTGCCCGCTGGTCGCCTCAGCGGTCCACATCTCCTGAGGGCGCTGATTCGTGCTGAGCTGCACGCTGGCGCTGGGGGCCCAGGAAAAGAGACGGCAGCCCCAATAGCTATCTCATTGGTATCGTATCCTCCTTCTGTTCCCCAATCGGTGCTTGCACTGAAGGGGTCCTAGCGGAAGTTGAAAGATTTGGCGAAAGTTTCCCGCCGATTTTGGTAGCAGGCTGGGTTCCCGGGTTCCCGGGTTGAGGGCCGATTTCGGTGGGTTCTGGGTTCCCGGGCTCCCAGGTTCCCGGTCGATCTCTTCAGCGAGAACCATCCACTGATTGGGGTTTCTCTTTGGTGGAATTTCCTCCCTTCCCTCCCTTCATCCCTCCCTCCGTCTCCCCATACGAACGCGTGGACTAAGGGCAGGTTAAGGGGCGTGTGCCATGGGGCGGGGCCCATGAAAAGTTACCGGTCGCCGGAAGCAAATCTAGGGGCGCGCCCACAACCTTAACTTATCTTTAGTTTTCTGAGGGCCATTTTGACCCTTTCGGGCCTTCTTGACGGACGTCTTGGATGGCTCTTGGGCCGTCTTGGAGGCCATCTTGAGCGTCTTGGAGGCCTCTTGGGCCGTCTTGGGGGCCTCTGGGTGCCGTCGTGGGCCTCTGGGGCGATCTTTGGGGGCTCTTGGGCCGTCTCGGGCCGTCGGAAGGCCGAACAAAAACAAGTTGTTACCCAAAACCTCGTGGGAAATCCATGGTTTTGGCCTCTTCGGGCCTCCCTGGAGGCCCTCTTGGCAGCCTCGGTCCCTCCGTCTCCCCTCCCCCCAGCGTCCGCCCGAAGAGGCCAGGGTTAAGTCGGGCCTATCCCCCTACAGGATTAAGTCGGGCCTACCCCTGTAGGGGGACAGGGCGGAGGCTTTTCGTCGTTTTCGGCCTCTCGGGGCCCTCACCGGGCCTAGAGGTCGACACCAACCAAGACATCGGGCGGCTCGAACACATCGAGGCGGAGGCTATTTTCGCCGCTTTCGGCCTCTCGGGGCTCTCGCCGGGCCTCGGGGCCCTCAAAAAACGACTCGGGATGGAAAGCCGGTCCCGGGGGGAGCGGTCGGGAGGTCGAGGACCCGTGTCTCGAAAATATCGAGACGTCGGACGTCCCGCCATCCGGCGGGCGGGGGAGCGCGGGAAGAAGCAGGGAGCACACAGAGGGAGCTCGACCCGGCGGCCCCTCCTGCAGGCTGGGTTCGGATCGTGGGATCGCCCCGCTGCTTCACTCGGCCCCTCGTCTGAAGGAGGGAGGGGCGGCAGGAGGAGCGCCACGAGTGGGCTCAGCGGGAGTCTACAGGTCTGGAGGGATCACTTTTGTTGCAGTCTGGAAGGTCAGGGAAAAGGGGGGTGATGACTAGTGTTAAGTCGGGCGTATGCCTCTACAGGAAGAGTTGTTAAGAAGAGTAGACGTTAGTCTCGGGACGATTCGTCGTACTTTTTCCCGGAAAGGGCAAAGGCCCAGGGTTCTCTTTTAGTTTGTTTCCCCCCGGTTTTGACGGCTGTGGGGCCGGCGAATTTCTTTTGCGATAAATAACGAGGTCGCGTAGGGCCGGCGAATTAAAAATTGAGGATGTCCCTAGCGCAACGCTTGTTTTTCATAATTTGTTGAGGATGTCTCGAGCGAGACGCTGGTTTTGCAGAGTTGGGGATGTCTCGAGCGAAACGCTTGGTTTCAGAATTTGTTGAGGATGTCTCGAGCGACACGCTGGTTTTGCAGAGCCGACCGCGACACGGAAAAGCGCCCCTCGCGCAGGAATTCCAAGGATGTCTCGCGCGTGCCGCGTCCCGCGCGCGGGTATTTGGATTTCTTGGGATTTTGACAGGATGTCTCGAGCGAAACGCTTGTTTTTCATAATTTGTTGAGGATGTCTCGAGCGAAACGCTGGTTTTGCAAAATTGGAGGATGTCTCGAGCGGTGGCCTCGTGGGGGGCCAGAATTCAAAGGATGTCTCAGGCGAAATGCTTGTTTTCACGTCCCGCTCGCAGGAATTCCGAGGATGTCTCGCGCGTGCAGCGTCCCGCGCGTAGGAATTCAGATGATTTTGACAGGATGTCTCGAGCGAAACGCTTGTCCCCAGCACGTTCCGTAGCGCGTCCCCTTGGCAGGTCCCGCGATGCGTCCCCATGGCACGTCCCTTGGCACGTCGCTTGGCGCGTCCCTTGAGACGTTCTGCGTCGCGTCCTCCTGGCATGTTCCCCTGTCCATTAGCTCTGGGGCAGCTACTATGTGTTCAGGCAGCTCGAGCTTAAGATCCAGATCAGTTCGGTCAGGACTCGGATGCAAAGGAGGACTCGATCCACGAGGCTATAGAGCACAATCGCGCCATGGCACATCGCAATTCAGCACGGCGCAGCACAGCACTGATTTCGGCACGGTACATCAAGGTCGATGCACTCAGCATTGCAACTTGGCACGTTCCTTGGCACGTTCCGTGGGGCGTCCTTTGGCGAGTCCCCCTGGCACGTCGCGTCGCGCGTCCCCTGGCACATCCCGTGGCACATCCATTGGCACGTTCCGTAGCGCGTCCCCTTGGCACGTCCCGCGGTGCGACCCCATGGCACGTCCCCTGGCACGTCGCCTGGCGCATCCCTTGGGACGTTTCGCGGCGCGTCCTCCTGGCATGTTCCCCTGTCCATTAGCTCTGGGGCAGCTACTAGGTGTTCAGGCAGCTCGAGCTTAAGATCCAGATCAGTTCGGTCAGGACTCGGATGCAAAGGAGGACTCGATCCACGAGGCTATAGAGCACAGTCGCGCCATGGCACATCGCAATTCAGCACGGAGGCCTAGGAGACTGCCAGGATGTGTCCATCACCCTGGATGTCTCAATCACAGGGTGCGGGACACGTTTTGGTCAGGGGCATGGCCCCAGGAAGCCCCAGGAGGCCCCAGGATGTTTAGGGAATGCCTAGGAAGCCCCAGGAGGCACCAGGAGAGCCCAGGAGGCCCCAGGAGGCCCCAGGACGTCCCAGGACGTCCCAGAAGGCTTCAGGAGGCCCCAGAAGGCTCCAGGAGGCCCCAGGAATGCCGAGGAGGCCCGAGGAGGCCGTAGGAAGGCCCATGAGGCGAAAGGGGCGAAAGGGGCCCACGTGTTTTCACACTTGTTCCGCTCAGGGGCGAAAGGGACCCACGTGTTTTCACGTTTTTTCCGCTCAGTGGCGAAAGGGACCCACGTGTTTTCACGATTGTTCCACTTTTGGGCGAAAGTGACCAACGTGTTTTCACGCTTGTTCCGCTTAGGGGCGAAAGGGGCCACGTCCCACCGTGCCCATGAGGGCCCAGGAGGCCCCAGGACGTCCCAGGACGTCCCAGAAGGCTTCAGGAGGCCCCAGAAGGCTCCAGGAGGTTCCAGGAATCCCCAGGAGGCCCGAGGAGGCCCCAGGAAGGCCCAGGAGGCCACAGGAAGCCTCAGGAGGCCTCATGAGGCCACAGGCGGCTCCTGTGGCTCGAACCCCAGGAAGCCCCAGGAGGCCACAGGAAGCCCCAGGAAGGCCCCTGCATGTCTGTCTGTCTGTCTGTCTGTCTGTCTGTCTGTATGTATGTATGTAAGTATGTATGTATGTATGTATGTATGTATGTATGTATGTATGTATGTATGTATGTATGTATGTATGCATGTATGTATGTATGCAGGTATATATACATATATATATATATATATATGTATATATGTATAAATGTACATGTGTGTATATATGTATGTGTATGTATGTATATATATATATATATATATATATATATATGTGTGTGTGTGTCCCTGGGCCCCTTCAAGAGACCTCGCGAGCGAGCGGGGAGGGCGGGGAAGGCGGTGCGGGCGCTTCGGGCGCCCTGGGGGGCTCAGTGTGGCGCGCGGGGGGGCCGCCGCCCCCCTGCTCCTCCTCCGCTGCCTCCCTCCCCCCGCCGACCCCTTGGCGAGCCTGCTCCTGGACAGCCAGGCGGGCAGGACGCCCGACTGCCCCCCCCTACAGGAGGGCGAGGTCGATGATCAGAAAGGACGCCCCCCTCTTACGCTCGTCTCCGTTGCCTCCTTCCCTGTCCCCCCTTCCCCCCTTCCGGCCTCCATTGGCCATCCGGCACCTCGTCCCCCCCTTGCTCCTTCTCCATCGCTCGTCTCCCCCAGGGTCTCAGCTCTGTCGCTTCCTTTCCTCCTTCCTCCTTCCTCCACCTCTTTTTGTTGGTCACGCTCCTCCTCCGTCCTCCAGCTTCGGTTGCCCCTGCTTTTCCTCCTGCTGTCACAGCCGCTGTCTGTCTTCGCTTTTCATCCGGCCCGTCCCCGTCGTCCTCCCATCCGAGGTTGCGGGCGCGGTGACGGCGTACGGGCGTGAGATGATCATGGCTACGAAGCAGAAGGCACAGCCAGACCTTCCCGAAAACATAATGATGAGGAAAAGCCTGCGAGGAATAATCACAGCAGCTGCAGAAGAACAGCATCAGGAGCAGGATGACAAGGTCGAGGACCTGGAGGACTACGATGACGACACTGGTGAGGAATACCAGCATACTAACGAGCACGCTAGCGATGATTGTGATGAAGATTAGCACTATGCTGTTGACAACGATGGTGGTGGTGATGATAATGGTGATGATGATGTATATAATGACGATGATGGAGATGATGATGGCGATGATGGTTGTCCTGATGACGGTGGTTCATGATGGTGAGTTTGATGCTGATGATGAGGATGATGACAGTGATGGTGAATATAGTGATTGTGATGATGGTTCTTGTTCGAATGATGGTGGTGATGTTGATTGTGCTTGTGGTGATGGTGGTGATGTTGGTGATGGTGATGGTGATGGTGATGGTGATAGTGATGGTGGTGATGATGATAATGCTGATAAATTCGATGGTGGTAATGTCGGTGTTCGTGATGATAGTGGTGATGGCGAGATGATGATGATGATGATGATGATGATGATGATGATGATGATGATGATGATGATGATGATGATGCTGATGCGAACGGTGATGATGATGTTGCTGATGATGATGGTGCCGACGACGATGATGACGATGACGATACTGATACTTTTGATGATGATGCTGATGATGATGATGATGAT